CCAAACTGCGTAATAACAGCGGACGCAACGATGTGGGGAACGTTTGAATGGGGGGAGGGGGGGTTTGAGTATACCCCAAAGGCTTTTGGCTGCCTATGCAAAGGGCAAAGTTTTTGGCAACGTCATATGTAAGCGAAATTCCAGACAGTGCGCGGCAAATGACATGACGAAATTGGCCAAATAACAAACTTAAGAGCGAAAAAAAAAAAAAACATTTGAGGAGCCGAACAACTGTAAACACTTCCTTTTGCGCCGGGCCAAGTCAGGCCCAAGTCTGCGTCAAGAGAGGCGTGGCTGCGGCACTGGCACATGTCCAATTTTTATGCCCAATTCGAATAACCTTCGCCTTGCCAAGCGGAAATCGAAACAGAAACTGAGGCAATGGGCAGGAGCTGGATAAATCAAAGGACAGCATCGAAGGGAAGACAATAATGATGAATGCGATGGGTCAAAGACGAAATTTAAAAGAAACCCAAGAGCTGCAGGACAACACCAGCAGCAACAACAACAACAACAACGAGACTAAGGCATGTCAGGCATTGGGGCTATACGAGCTGAATCTCCCGGTTTAGTAAATCAAATACGCTTAAACTGATCAAAATAAAAAGAAATACATAAAAATAAAACTAAAGAATACGCCGGACCACGCCCACTTGAAACGGACAGTTTGCCGACAGGCAAATGGCATACAAAGGATGTGTTTGGCTCCAGCTGCCTTGCCGCCTCCTGCACGGGCCAGTCCTCTCTCAAGTTGCAAGCTTCCTAAACAACCTTAAACAGGAGAAGTGGACAAAAACATATGTGAGCCTAGGACAGTGTGGACAGTGATCGACTGGCAGATACCCTGTGATAAAGTTTTTGATTTGAGAATAATCTGAAGAGAAAAGGAATTCAGCTAGATTCATGGCTATAAAAACTTAATGATCAGAGGTACAAATACTATTAGATTATTAGATTAGAAGTATTATCTGTAATAGATGTGTATATAGACAGGACTCGTTAAGCTGCTATCAGTGCTAATATCCTTCTGTCCATCACAAAAATTTGCAGAGAATTATTATATACCCGTTTTACTAATTTTTATTAGGGTATAAAAAAGAGCTTAGATTACCTTTTTTATTTGACTTTGGGGACTGTCGCTGATGTCGGCGAAGGGCTTGACACAGGCTGTACAATATTTCTGATATGCACTAAGAGATAAAGAGGGACAAGGAGAAAAGAGAAAGACAGAGATAGAGAGAGAGAGAGAGAGATAGAGTGGGATAGACAAAGACTAGCAGCAGATAAGGGACTAGCCCACAAGACACAGGCTTTACCAGCAGCCACCAGACAGGCCAGCCCAATATTTACACAACTGGGATTTGAGATTTGTGAACCGAGAACAACAACAACAACAAAAAAAGGGACAAAGTAGCAGGAGTCGGCAGGGAGTACCCGCTGGGCATTTTATTTAAATTTCGTTTATTTAAGTTGATTTGGCGAGTAAATTAGTTGGACCCAAACAGAGTTTCAAAATGAAAATGTAAACGATTGCACGCACACCTACAGCAGCAGCCGTCTGAAGCCGTGAGAAGTCCGTTGCAGTCTGTGGCTTTAATTGCTCTCGAGCCGAGGGCTCGGCTGCCCAGCTCAGTGCTCAACGAACGGGGCAGGAGCTGGAGCTGGAGCAGAGGCAGCGACAGCAGCAGCTGAAGCCCCGTTCAACCCTTTAACAAAGAAAACGTGCAAATTATTGCGACTCAGAATTGGGTCACTCGGGTTGGGCTTGCCCCATGTCCCCCCCCATTGTTGTGCTGATTGTTACGCCTGTTTGTTATTGTTGTTCATGTACACACAGCCCCAACCGAGTAGGGTGGCTCTTTTGCCAGGGCTAACGCAGGGATTCTAGGGATTTTTCATTAAATATTTAAATCTAACTTCTTGCCTAGTTCAATTGCTGAACTGGAAACACGTTATGTGGCCATTTGCATAAGGCAGTCCCTGTATTGGGGGGGGAGGGGTTCATGGGTTGGGTGCAGCAGTTACTCAGCTGTTTGCTTTCATTTTGCTGTTCGTAATCGTGATTCAGATACTCAGTTGAGGCCCCCCCTCCCCCCTAATTTCTTTTGCTTATTATTATATATAAGTTGATCAAGTTGTTTGTTGCAAATGAGTCCGAATTTCAGCGAAGGAGAGAGAGAGAGAGAGAGAGAGAGAGGGAGACAGCGAAAGTGGAAATGTGTTTGCATCAAAACAAATGCATTTTTATACGTCTGCGGGTATGCCCACTATCCCACTCTCTCTCTTTCTCTCTCGCTCTTTCTCTCTCACACATATACATATATATTTTGTTACGTGACTCGCCTTCGCATCTGCCATTCCTGCTTGGGGTCTCGCTTCCTCTCTACCCGCAGACTACGTCACTTCGCACTCTCCGCTCTCCACTCATCGCTCTTCTTCGCCTTCAATTCCCTCTGCCACTTGGTTCCTTTCTCTAGTAATTTACGCTTCATCCCGGCTCCGCCAAACACTCAGTTACCATCCCTCCCCCAGCCCCTCTGTGGCGCTGAGTGCTTTGCGCCAATTTTTTTCATGTTTTCATGCGTGTTGCGTGTGCGAAACCAAAACTAGTTGCACTAACTAGCTGGGGGATTGATATACTAGTATATACCCTGTATGCCAGGCACTTGGTGAAAATATATCAGGATTTATTATATATACATATATTATAAATATATATAATTCAAGATATATATTTATTCATATAATGCCAACGCCAATGTTAAAATTGCATGTTATAAATTGCATAAACTTAGCTAAGAATATACCCCATTTGCTTACCACATAAAAAGCATAGCACAATTCAGCAAATCCTTATACAACAACAACAACAACAACAATAAGAAGAAGAAGAAGCTCAACAATGACGACGCTGATTGTAAAAATGTGTAGCGGAAAAACAACAACAGCAAGAAAACCAAGAAAAACAATGGCAACAATGTGCGAAGTCAAGTGCCTGACTAAGGCAATCATCTATGTGTGTGTGTGTGTGTAAATGTCTCTGTGTGTGTGCCATATTTCATTACATAACTGTAGTAGGCACTTCTGCTTACACTTCTGCCGCTGCCGCTGCCGCTGCCGCTGCCTCTGCCTCGGCCTCTGCCTCTGCCTGAGCTTGTTCTCTTTCTTATTCTTGCCTTCCTGCAGCAACTTCGGTTTCCGTTTTGCTATCGAGTATTCACGCCTTAAAGTAGACTTTGTTTTGTTTATTCGCTTTTGCCCACTTGGCTGCGATAATGAAAAGCTGCCGCTTGGCCAACAGCCCTAACGCGCCTGCTTATTGTTTGTTTGTTGGCCAACATTTTGCTGGTTGTCATAGCATTAATTTCGGCCTAATGGCCACATAGAAATTATGAAACATGAGCATTTCCATTTCAATTGAATTTATTATTGATAAGAATAAGGAAATATACAAAACTCGCATAGAGTGCGAGAATCGTTGGAGGGCTTTATTAAATATTCTTTTCAAAATAATAACAATTGTTTTGCATTAGATCATCGTTGTTTATGTGTTGTGCATTCAAACTTTGCATAAACAATAAAAGTTCAAAACAGAAAACATACGTTTTCAGCGCCAAGCGAACATCTGCTTGTAAACAGTGTGTGAAGAGCGAATTAAAGCAACACAGACAGAGCGAAGCAGAGATAGAGAGAGAGAGGGGGAGCGCAGATACATGTGTGAGAATGTAAGTGTTTATGTGTGTGGCATCATAAATTCCAGCATGAGTACAACAAATTCCGCATGTGGAAATAAATAAATGTGTCAAGAGTGGAAAATGGCGACGAGCAGTGGAAGCACTGGAAGCATGCGCCGTTAGCTTTGGCGCATGACGCATGCAAAACGGAGCAGAGGCGAATGCAATCCACACACACACAAACGCACAGGCATTTCAATGCACAGTACAACAAGGCAGATGAGTAAATATATATGTATGTATGTATATAAATAAACACTCTGACACATACACATGTATGTATTTACATAAATGCACACACACACACACATACCATACATATATTCAATATGGAAATTAATCCGCATAATCAATGCGCGCGCGTGGCTTCAACTTTAACTGTTCGAAGGGAAAGAGTGGGAGGGAGAATGGCAGACAGGGAGAGCGAGAGAGAGAAGCAATTCAACAAAATTCTAATTTCAATTTTGAATATGCTGCGCTTGGCGAGGATTACGCGCGGCTTATACCAGAAATGCATTATGGCCACACCCTCACTCACTCTCAGCATGCATGTGTGTGTGTATGTGTGTGTGTGTGTGAGTGCTTGTCCCCTGCGACCTTTCCTATTGAAAGTGCAAGGACAGCCTCGCACTGACAGCAAAGCATTTACCATGCAGCATGTCGATGTCGACGAACACCAAAATAAACAAAATAAGAAAAAAAAGAAGAGCATAAAAAAAAAAAAAAAACAATTTAAAATAAGAGCCAGAAAATATTGCACATATTTTGCCTCACACAGTGGAGAGAGCAAAGGGTTAGATATGCGATGAACAGATGTACAAATGAGCATGACTGCAAGAGGGAGAGGGACGGGCGTGGAGTGGAGAGTGGAGAATACCAAAAACGGTTGCTGCACGTGCACTCATGCAGACGGAACAGCAGCAGCAGAGCAGCAGCAGCGAATACAGAAGGAATGCGAAGCAAAACAAAAGTCGAAGTGGAGTTCAACACACAGACACACACACGCACACATAGATACTAATATGTTATTCATATACATATGTATTTGGAATTGCAAGCATGCTTTCATTTGGTTCTTCTGGCAATGGCTTTGTGCGTGTTGAGTGAGAGAGAGAGAGAAATAGAAATAAAGAGGAATTCATTCTTTTAAACAAAGTGGCGCTTAGTGTGTGCGTGTGTGTGTGTGGGTGTGGTTGTATGCCGCAACTGGCAAATTGGCAGCCCGCAGCATAAAATGAGCAAAGTAGAAGAACAAAAAAGACTTACCTTATAAACATCGCCATAGGTGCCAGAGCCAATTTTCTGTATGAGATCGTACTCGTCCTGCGGATTGCGACGGGATATGTCCGAGCTGAGCAAATTGGCATTGTGGTGACTGTGAGCAGCGGCCATGACGGGAGCGGGATTCACTAGGCAGCAGCGCTCGCTGCCTGCCTATCTGTCTGTCTGCCTGTCTTTGTCTTTGTCTATCTCCTTCTTTGTCTCACTGTTTCTATCTCTCTTTCACTGTTTTATTTTGTTGTGCTTTTTACTAGTGGCGCTGCCTTTGCTGTTGTCGTTGTTGTTGCTGGATCAATTTCAAATATCGTAAAATTTCTGAATTTGTTGCATTTTCATTGTGGTGCGTAGGGGTGGGGGCTCTTTGGAAAACTTCTCGAAGTAAGATATCTGTGTGCTTTATATGCAAAGTTGCGTAACGGTTAACAATTGCCGTATTTATAGAACTGGAATTTCAATTAATATTGAAAATTAGCTTTTAACACACTAACACATACGCACACTCGCACGCACACACACACACATGCACAACAATATATTGGTCATCTCTTTGCACGCAGAAATAATCATAAAACGGAATAGAACAGAATCGAAGCGAAATTAAAGCGCACACGGCAACAAAACAATAGCAACAACAACAACAACAACAATGATAGTCAAAATAATGATAAACGCGACGGCGTTAGCGTTGGCGTTGCACTGTGAGAGAGAAAGCGAGAGCGGCGGCGGCGGCGGCAGAGGCGTCGACAACGGCGTCGCGGTCGCAAAAGTGGAAAAACAAGTGGCAGTAGCAGCGGCGGCAACTGCGACGACTGCGACAGCAGCGAAAACGACCAAAAATTGTTCGTTTAATATTTTTTAACAATTTTATTTGTTTTTAACATTTGTTATCTGTTGGCCACTTTTGTGTGTGTGCTGCCTTATTAATTTAAACATTTATATATTTTATATATGCATATATAAAAATATAAACAGATGCCAATTGGAAATATATATCGCACTAACACTCGCGACAGACACGGCGGCGTTGGCAGGCACACACACGCACTCACATGCATATATACGCAATCATAGACCGACACACGCACACATATAGACAACGCGCACACAGACAACGCGACAACACAAAAACAAGGCAACGGCGACAGCAAAGTCTACTGCGGCTTGCTTCTCTTCTTCTCTTCAGCTTTTTGTGCTGCTGCTGCTACTGCTGCTTTTCGGCCGTATGATTTTGATTCCATGTCGCGTCGCAGTCGCAGTCGCGAGGCGTGTCTGACGTTCTGTTGGCCACTAACACGGTACGCACGCGATATTTGTTGTTGCTGCTGTTGTTGATGCCAGCTAATAAGCTGGCATTGGCACAATGCGATCAATGCACTGAAATCCACACGTGCTTACTCGATTAACTTTTTTTTTTTTTGTATATTTATTCCAATTTAATGAATAATTTTTACGCACTACAAACGCACACACTCGTTCAGAACACAAATAACATACGCGACCGAGCGACCGACGATTGCAGCGCAAGAACAAATACAAATACAATGCGCGCACCTACATTTTTTTAACCAGGTTTCTCGTGCTCAAATGGCGCTGTTAAATAGCATTTTGAGAAAATGTTGCCAAGACGATGAGCATGTTTGGCCACATGTTGCCGAACGAGCAGTGTTGCTAATGAGATATGTTTTCCATTAAACAATTTTGGGTTTGTTCCATATTCTTATACAACATAAAATTACAATAATTCTTAAAAGCTGGCCATGTAAGCCTTTTTGCAGCTTGCAAAGTTGTTTCCCTTAGTGCTTATTGTCACCATTGTCACTGAAGATGTTAACAAAAGCCGCTGTTGTGCTCGATTGGCAATGTTAGTAGCAATTGATGTGACTGTTAACATATATTCGATATTTGCCTAAGCAGCTGTTCAGCTCTTAGTGCTGCCATCTGAACTACCCGTTAAGTGTGACCAACAATAAAAATTCGAATTTTCCTTTTTGCCATTCAATTTTTATTCAAAAATGTTTTCAGATTTGTACAATTATTATTCGTGATGATAAAAATACAAAATATTCAAGTTCTTTGTAATAATTTGCAGTAAAGTTAGGAAAACAGTTTAGAAATAAACCCAAATTATTGCACTCGAATATAAAATAAATAACATAATTTTGTATATATAGATTATAGGTTTATAAATTGTTTGTAGTTTGATTCTTTCTGAGTTTAGGGTTTCAATATTTCTAGACGACTTCTCTTTCGCTCCATATGTATAAATTGCATACTATTTTTAATTATATATATTATTTCGATTCGAATTTGTTTTATTGTAGGTTTTTTTATAATTTCCTGCTACGATCCGCAGCAGTTAGATTTAGTTTCGTTCTGTGAAAAGAGAATGAAAAATAGATTAGATACGCTTAAAAATGATAATTAATAACAAATTGACTAACAACAGAGGGATAATGCTATAACACAACGAACTACAGGCGGCAGCTAAATGAAAAATTTAATTGTAACAGTAACAAAATTAAAATTATTTAAAAAATAAATCAAATTACATTCACATAATCCATTTCAAAATAAAACATTCTCATTAACATACAAAAATTTCATTTCAAGCGATAACTAGATAATTGGAATTTTCGTTTTATCGATAAACAGAATGTAAAGTTTGTTTTTGTTTTTGGCTGTTATTTTAAAAAGCTGGTATTGTAAATTGTTAACTGTTAACTGGAACATTAGCATGCGTGCAGCTGCAGTTCTTACCCATTGTCCAAAATTAGTGAACGATAACGGAAGATCTGAACAATTGGCCTAAAAAATAATCTCCCTGCTCTCTATACATATGTATATTTCGCGTGAATGTTGAACATAAACTGATCTTGACGTCAAAATGTATATTTTATTATTAATTACTTAATTCTACTGCTGCTCTTTTCTTCTTCATTATAATAAAACATTGATTTTTATATATTTGTGCGCTTAAAACTTTACTGATCAATCGGCATCCTGTGTCCATGTTTTGAGTGAAATAGAAAAATGTGTGAAATTATGTTAGAAGACTGTGTAAAAACAAAAATGAATTAGGATATTATTGTGCTTTATGTGTTTGTGTGTGTGTGTGAGTGTTTACAGAATTCAGAGTGTTTACAGATTGGTTAACAGATGAATGCTCGCAAGTACTATGCGTGTGTGTGTGAGTCTTTGCCGGTGTGTGTGTAAGCATCTGTGTATGTGTATGTGCTTAGGTTAATGCATGTAATGAAAGCTGTGTGGATTGCAAATGGAGCAAATACGAATGTGCGTGTGTGTATGGCTTAATATATAGAAAAAAGAGACAGCATTAGAGTAAAAGGACACGCATAAAGAGGATGCATAATATACTTAACAGTACTTGTGTACGTTAATGCAGCTGAATAATAAAAATATGACCAAATTCAGACTAAAAACCGCCGCTAAAATAGAAAATGACTTTAAATTCAAATTAAATTCTAAAATAACTGAAAACTTTATAATTTTGACGTCAAATCTTTAAAAAAAAAATAAATAAATAAATTTAAAAAAAAAAGTAAAAGAAACGCAAATTTGTAATAATTGCAAATCAAATGTTGTAAATATTCAGGAGCATTTAAGCGGACATTACAATAGAAAATAGAGATAGAAATAGAACATTATTCAATGTTAAGTATTTCATATTGGATATTTAAGTGTAAGTTATGTTAACTATAGAGTCAAATCTCGCTCTGTGAGTACCGGATATGAGGTTCTAAATTGTCAATTGAGCAGGGGCAGGGTAACGTATGTTCGTGTTCGTGTGTGTGTACGTGTGTGTATTTAAAAGAAGAAAGAAATAAAGAACGAAAAACAATAAATTAGTACTTCAATTACTAAAGCCAACCACCGTATATAAACGATATAATTATATATGGATATATATTCAACTGAAGTGTATTATTTATGTAAGCGATCAGCAATTGAAATGGACTACTTACAGTTCCATGGAGAGCACCGTGGGATTGGGACACGCCTGTGGAGCACGGACGTGACATTGCTTGTGACATATCAACTGGCAGTCGCGGCACTCGTAGCCCTGCTTGCCCGGCCGCCTGGGTATGGACTTCATGCAGATCGAACACTGCAAGCCACCACTGTGGATTGAAAAATGTTAATGAGATGTTAAATGTTGGGGGCAGAGAGTACAGATGGAATCGCTCTTTGATGTCTCTATCGTTATTTCTCATTGATTTCTCTGATTTCCCTTTTCACTCTGCTCTCCCATTTCGTTTTTGCTTACTATATTATCTTATTTTTTCCTCTTTTAACAGAAGTAGAGAGACTTCTGTTATTTCTCTGTTCCTCTCTTCGCTCTCTCATTTATTACGCAGGCTTCTTTCGTAATCTGCTCTTAGGTTTAGGATCCCTCTCTCTCTCACACAGTCCTCTATCTCTCGCTTCACCCTATCATTTTTCTCTCTCTCTCTTCTTTCTCATTCCTTCGCTCATTTCTTACAGTCCTATTAGCTCACGCCTCTCCATAACTATCTGACTTCACTCTCTCTCTCTCTCCTTCATGCTCTCTCTTCCCCTCTGACTTACCCGCTCAAATGTTTGGCTATGAAGGTGTGATCGTTGTAGATGTGCAGCTTGGTGCCCTTGCGACGCCAGCGAGGCCTCTGTGCAATGGCCAGTGGCACGATGAAATGCCTGCAAGCAGATAACAAATAATTAGTAAATCGTTAAAAATATAAAAAAAAAAAAAACTGCAGTCGAAGGTGTCCGACTAGTATATATATGTCATAAACATATCGATTCTTATCGATTATCGATAAGTTTAAGCATAAACTTGATAGAGAAGGAGAATTTCTTGATAGCATTAACTTCATAGATGAGTCTTATCAGACATCTATAGACTCTCTTTTAACCAGCTATATAGCTTCTTGAGTCTAATCGAAATGTAATCTAAATAAAATTCGTATGCATGCTAACCGCTTAACGCCATTTTCGACTGTCTCCAGGACCAAGGTGGACGCCTCGTGTACGTAGGTCTTGTTGCTAGCCGAGGAGAAACCGGAGATGGCTGAGGATTCTGAAATTGAAGAGCGTCGTGAGTGGTCGGTGATGGAGTTACCAATGCCCATGCGGGGTCCTTCAATTGCAATGTTGTTGTTGTTGTTGTTGATGATGATATATTTGTAGTAGTTGTTGTTGTTGTTATTGTTGCAGTTATATAAGATATTTATATAATAAGATCCACACACACCAAACACCCGAATACACCAAAATATATGTATATGAAAATAAATAAATGTAAAAGAAAAACATAATTTTAACCAAATGAACAGAAAAAAATAAATATCGTGTAAGAAAAATAATTTATAATAATAAAATTCCGTTTTTGTGTTCAGTTCAACAGGTGTGTTTGTGTTTGTGTTTGTGTGTGTGTGTGTGTGTAAGGCATATACATAAATACATGGAAAGTATTAAACAAGAGGTACATACAGATTGTTAAGTTTACGTGCGGGAAAACAGTTTTTATGTTTTGGTTAGCGTTTGGGGGAGAGAAGTAGAATAAAGAACGGTAAAAGTAAAGTTAAGGACATAACGCAAGAACGACTAGGAAACGAAATATGTATATATATATGAGACATACATGTATATGATATATGATATGATATACAAATATGTATGTAGATGCTAGGTAGAGTCTTGAATCCTTGAGCATATTAGTAAATATATCAAATAATGGGAAAATGTTGCTAAATATTTGGCTAGAACTCATTTAATATTATGTATACAAATTATAATTATTGCATTATTAATACTTCATATATACATATATGTATGTATGTATACAAATTATAATTAATGTATTATTAATAGTTTTATGACTTACTCATATTTATATTTTTATATTTTGGAATATATTATATTTTATTAAATTTATTTTATGCATTAAAGATATTATTCTTGATATTATATTATTAAGTTTTATTTTTTAATGTATTCATTTAAATATTATTTTATTTTTTTTAATATATTAATTTAAATATTATTATTTTATTTTGTATTTTTTTTTTTAAATTTAATTTATTTATTTTTTTAAATATTTTTTATTTATTTTATTTCTTTTCTTCCCGATTTATTGTGCTTGAATTTATAATTATATACAAATTTAAAAATTTTATTTATATTTTTATGTTTTGGAATATATTATATTTTATTAAATTTATTTTATGCATTAAAGATATTATTCTTGATATTATATTATTAAGTTTTATTTTTTAATGTATTCATTTAAATATTATTATTTTATTTTTTTTTAATATATTAATTTATATATTATTATTTTATTTTTTATTTATTTTTTTATTTGATTTATTTATTTTTTATATTTTTTATTTTATTAATTTTTATTTTTTTTTATATTTTTTATTTTTTATTTGTTTTCCTCCCAATTTATAATTATATACAAATTTTAATTTAAAGTTTAAGCTTTGCATATTATTGTTTAGAAAAAAATTAGTTAATAAAAAAAAATTAATTAGGGTAATATCACATTTGAAAGATTTGTCTTTCTTCATTTTTCATGTTTTTTTTTATACCCTAAGCCCATGGCAAATGGGAATTTCGGGGTGTGTTTTTTTAAGTTTTATTTATTATATTACCAAAGTTCAGCCTATATTAATTTTAAATATATTTAAATAATGTGCATGCTCTATGGATTTTGTTTGTAAGGTTTTCAAATTATGTGCCACATGAATATTTTTGTACAAATATGTTTCCGCTTGATAAACACATGCATTTAGTGCAAAAGTTAGATACGATCTAATGTGAATGTACATTAATGTTGTCTGAGTGTGCGTGTGTGTGTGTGTGTGCCTGTGAGCGTGATGAATGGTGTGAAATGGACTTTGGGGTAATTACCAAGTGAATTGCTTTTAGACAGAGTGGCACGATCGACAGATAATGAACGGGAAGAATCACCATTGTGGGTTCCAGTGGCTGTTCGAGTGAGTCCTGCTTTTGTTGTTGTTGTTGTTGTTGTTGTATTATTGGCTGATTGTGAATTATGGTTGTTGTTATTGGGCTGATCGGCCGATAGGGTGCGGGTTTTAGAACGACTGAGACGCTTCTTGAGGGTGCCAAAGAAATTACGTTTTTTGCTCCGACCACGATCATCCAGATCCAAGCCCGACTGCTGCTGCTGCTGGCTCGGGAATGGCGAGGAGGCGCCATTGCGGGTCAAACTGTTCGAGTTGTAGCCGCTGCCGCTGCCATTCAGATTGCTTGTGCCATTCAGGCTGTAGTTGTTGTGATAGCCACTCCCATTCGGCGAGGAGGCGGCATTTGGCTGGCCAAACTGCGAAAGGAAAGAAATCGCTAGAATCGAACTAATCCCAAACTCGAGGACAGGTGCGCATGCCATGCTCAGTGCAAATGTGAAACTCGAAACTCTTGCGTGCTACTCACCTCGGCTGTGGTCTCCTCGTTGGTGTTAACTGTGTTACCTGTTGTATTGGGCGAGTCGCTGCCCGGACTGTCCACCAGATCGATCGAGCTCGCATTGGCCGCAGCCTCGTTGGCAGCACGCTCGAAGGCCTGGGCGACGGCCTGGTCGAGCTCCGTCGGCGACGGTCTCTCGGTGACCTCGATCTGGCCATCCTTGTTCAGCTCGACCTGGCCGGAGCGATGGGTGTGGTTAGATAAGCGCGGGGTTAGGCAAAACGATCAATAAACAGAACGAGAAACGAAATTTCATATTTTTGTTTGTTTGTTTTCAGATTAGCTCAACGTCGTATGAATGGATCTGGATAGCTGATTAGCACATAATTAAGTGTAATTGAAATTCAACTCAAATATATATGTATATGAAAATGGTAAAAGAAAATGGAAAACTGGCGCATAGGTTACCTTAAATGCATGTGGATTGGTCGAGTTCTGCGGGAAATGCAATGAAAAGAAATATGAAAGAAAATCAAAATATAAATTATAAAACGAAAAAGAGAAAAGGAAAAAAAAAAAGGAAATCTGACTGGGAATGTCGGAACGCTGGCAACTCACCCGCTGCACGCTGTGTATGATGAGGGTGCTCTTGCTGGGCTGGCCACTGCCGGTGGAGCCGGAGAGGGTGCCATCCTGCAGGGCACGGACCGCAGCGTCGGCCAGGTCGGCGCCGTTGCGTATGTGCTCATTGATGGCGGGCGTGCTGAGGCGCAGGGCTTCCTTCAGGCGATTGGGACGGGCATGGGCTGGGATTTCGGCGCCCTCGATGAACACAAAGTCGACGGTGATGGCGCCCGTCACGGGCTGTGTCTCGTAGGGGCGTGGCTGCAGCTGCAGCACCTGCGTGGAGGCGGGCCCCACGGCCAGCTCGTCAATGCCGACCAGGCCGAGGCCAAGGAACTTGGGCGGATCCGATGCAATCACCGGATGATCATAGACCTCAAACAGTATTTCAGCCGATTGTGGGGAGAGTTCGCTGAAGAAGAAGAGGTATTAGTAAAGCAGTACAGTTAAAGACCAGGAAGAGTCTCCACTCACAATAGGAAATGCTCATCCCAGTAGGGCTTGCTGCCTCGCTGAGTGCCCGTCTGGTTCTTCTGCGCCGGCTCGTCCATCTCGATGACCACATAGGGCTCGTGCGCATCCCTCAGTCCCTCGCCCTTGACGATCTTCACCAGCAGGCGGCGACCCGATACCATGTGCTGGCCATCGCGCAGCATGCCGCTGCCCAGATTCTCCATGTTGTGCTGTGTGTGGGCCGAGCATGCAAGTGAGCGAGTGACAATGAATGAATTAACAGAATTGAATTGACTCAGAGAGAAGTAGAGATAGAGATTGAAAGAGAGAGATAGAAAGAGAGAACTTAGAGCATAGCTGAAGCTTATGAAATTCGCCTTTAAACGAGGGGAAACTCAACGGGGGTGATTTATATATAATACATATATATATATATAGATTTAGTAATTGTAATAATATTGAAAGTATTGATTGCCCTGAAAAGAGAGAGCGCAAAAGAGAGAGAGAGAGAGAGAGAACAGTTTAACTAGAGCCCAAGGCAATGGTCAAAACATCGAGTGGTACATGTCAAATGGACAGCAAAGGCGAATTTCATTCATTTCAACGGAACGCTGAATGATAGATACAAGATTGTATATGTCCTTTGGTGTTGCGGCGTTAGAACAATGAGAAGTGTTGTCTTTCATTGTCTGTGTGTGGTGTGCTTGAGTCAGAGACATCACTGTACTTGTACACTTGTGTGTGTGTCTAGTTGAAATGGGGCTGATGTCGACGGGAAGAGTTACGACAAATACGCATAGAACGAGCAACACAGAACAGACGCTTCTCACTGCTCTCCACACGCTCTCACCGCCAGCGAATCATAGTGCACGGGATAGATTACAGGCAACTCGAGGGGCTCCACTTCGGCGCGCGGGCAGGTCGAGTAGATGGAGAAGTCAACCGGATAGACGGTGTCGCGCAGCGCCGTCGTCAATATATCGGTGATCACTGTCTGCAGCTGCTGCTCATCCTGATCCATGGGCTTGATGGCGCCCACACTGTTCATGGTAATGCGCACCTGTAATGCATATATAGTATTAGTTATCAACATTTATTACATCATTTCATATATCTATGTACTTACGTCCGGATAGCCGTCCACACGCATCTCACCCTTAAGCGTATTGTAGTTGATGGGTATGGACATGCGTGCACGGAAACGGGAGACGGTGACCTTGTAATGCGAGGTCTCCACCTTGCCCGACTTCTGCCTGAAAGTCTTCACCTGCAGCACCGGCATCGCATCGCAGTCGAAGGTGATGAGCTGTAAGCAAAACAGTTGGGCGCCAATTAGCATGGATGGATCAGTTATTTCAGCACTCCTTTTACCATTTCAGCGGGATTCTGTTCCTCGCAATTGCAAAATATATTATTTAGAGCCGGTGCTGGGCTGTCGGGCAGTACGCGCACCACCTCAACTGCTACGCCATGCTGTAAATGAAGAGAACAACAGTTGATATTTATCGATGTGTTAAATGAGTTATCGATAACAGCTAATAAGTGATGACAGTATTTGATGATACTTTGACACTCATTAACGATATGTATATATGGACTTTGATGGCATCTATTGCTAGACTTGTCTCTGACATTCAATGCTTCTATCGATTTTATTGCTGTTTATCGATCATATTCAATAGTTTCTATATCCAGTAAAATATTTGCATACAACATATTTAAAATATCGATATATATATCGATAACTTAAACTTCTCAATATCCCATAATAAACTACATAAATTAAGTCAGTAATGCAACAATATATGATTACGAAATTTGTGGCGTATATCGATACTTAACGATGGTTTTCTGTCTGTTCCCGATAACATAAACTGAAAATTAAGTGAGCTTACAGTAATAAAGCTTAAAATAACCAATAAAAATTTTACTATTATCATAGAAACGATAATGCTTATCAATATTTATCGGGCTGTTGGCTGTATCATCAATAATTAATAGCGCAATCAATTGAATCATACCATTTCACAGTCCAAAAGTATGATCATAAAATAGAAAACAAATATATATATTTTAGCTATCGATAAGATCGAAGAGGATGTGATAATAATACTGAAATCTGACTAAGCATATAGGCATATATATTTATCGATATTTATCGCTTTGAAAGAACTTTAATCAATCACATTGACTACGCTCAATCTGAGACCTGAAGGATGCAGCCTTGCGGTCGCCTTTGCGGCTAACCGGCCTCCGTTCTAGAAAACCTGTTGGACGACTCTGCCGTCTCGGACTGTTTCTGGTTTTGGCGACATTACGTAAGCGGCGATTATAAAGAATTGGTTCATATGGATGTGAACGCCATTCGAAAACACAACAGAGCCAGAAAAAGTCATAAAGCAGCGAGTGAGTGACTAACGCACAGCTCACAAATAAAATTGCTGACCTTGGCCTACGTTCGGGGAGCGACGCTGATAAAGAAAACAATAAAGGTAAAAAAAAAAAAAAAAATTCAATCATAAAAAAAGAAAAAACAAGCATCGCTAGCTGAGCTCAAAACGCGTTTCTACGCCGGCTACGCCTGACTGGCTGAGCGCCTCGGCTAAGCCAAGTAAAAAGCTAAACAAAGTTGATTTTTTTGTGTGATTTCAAGTTGAAAGTCGAGGCCACGTAACCAGAACAGGGTTCAATGGACGCCGACGCATAGAGAGAGAACTAGGGGAGAGCTGGGAGTGGGCGTAAAGCAATTCTAGTGACGTCACAAGCTGTAGCTGTAGCTGTAGCTGGACTGGTCTGAGATCATGGACTCACCTCTTCGACGGATTTGCGCAAGGTGTCGTTGAGTGCTATCACCCAGGACATGAGCAGTTCGTTGACTATAACTAGATCGCTGTAGAGCCAGCGAAACACTTGGCTGGTCCATGTGACGGAGCTCTGCAAAGAAATCAATTTCAATTGAGCTGGAGCTTGGAGCTTGGAGGTCAGCGGAATCAGCACTACTTCACTTACCGTTTCTGGCCCCACCACATTGGAGGGCGGTGGCACATATCGTTTCTTGCGGTTCTCTGGTCCCGTAGAGCTCTGGCGCACCACGCGACGACGCGCACCGGCCGCAGCGCCGCCCATGGGCGAGGCTGTGGAGCGTCCGCGGCCTGCTGCACCGGCGCCAGCACCGCCCGCGCCGGTTAGTGGCTTCGATAGATCCTCGACTTTGCTCTTGGTGGCCAGCAGATCGCGTGGCTCGGACAGTCGCTTCTCTGGCTTGCCAGCGGCACCAGGAGCCACACTGCCCTGGCGACTGTTGCCGGCACTGCCGGTAGAGGCGGCGGCATTGGCGCCCTTATTCAGATACTTGTGGTAGAGCAGCTTGCACAGCCAAACGGAGAATAGGGCCAAGACGGCCCACAAGAATATGAAGATGGCTAAGGAGTCCATTGTTAAGTCACCAAGTCCCTCGAACGAACAGATATAGTCATCGATTTGATCTGCCAGATCCATTGTTTAACAAAGCATGGTGAGGGTCCAGCGATCAGAGAGCAGCATCATAATGGCAACAAAGTCTGAAATTCGAATTGGATTAGTTAGTAATACGAAACAGTTGGCCCATATATAACAGTATATATAGAGGTATATGTCTATGTGTGTGTGTGTATTGCAACAACAAGCACCACTGGCTCGGGGATCTGCTCTGTGTATAGCCATGTCTATTTATAGAACTTTGAACATTTTTTGTTCTTCTCATTAGAAAATATGAAAAAGCTTTCCACTCACAGCGAAAACCCGAAAACTATTTCAATATTGCACACAAAAAAAAACAACTCGCTTGAAACTAAATCAAAATAAATAAAAAATATTTTATTTTGCTATATAATTAATATTAGATTTGGCGAAAAAGTAATAACGGAAAAGGTGCGTCAAATAAGGCGAAAAAACTCAAATGAAAATCGTTTTGTTCTAAAACCGAACCGAAATGAAACTGAACACAATTCGCGGGCCCCTCAAACGTGTGTATCTCACAGCGACGATGAAGGTGGCAGAGCCGTTAATGCGCCGACGCATAGAGCTCGAAAGAGAGAACAGGAGTGGGAGAGAGAGAGAGAGAGCGAGCGAGAGAAAGGAACAGAGAGAGAGAGAGTTGTAGAGACACTGGAGCAGGCAGGCAGGCAACTATTGACGTCATAACTTTTTGAGGTCGCGACGTGCTCAAAGAACATGCCAAAAACACAAAAGAAACAAAATTAAACAAAACAAAAAAAAAAGCACAGAAGAAGAAGAGCAATAAACCAAAGTAAACAACAAAATGCCGAATGCTAAATGCTCTATGAAAAAACCTATAATAATAACTAAATAAATATATTACAGACGAGTCTCGATAATTTCTACTATATATATAAAAGAAAGATAAAGATAAAGGATCTATATAAAAGATCCCGATAAATCGCAAAAAAACGTTCTCGATAAATCTCGATAGTTTGAACTGCTGTGGAAATCGAAAAATAACTGATTCCTGGCCTTTTCGAATTATCGACAGTCGACTGTGCAGCAAATGCCTAAGTTATCGATAACATTTTGATGTGGAAATATGAAGTAGACATTGCCTCTTACTTGAGCATTGTCTTACGTCTGCTGAACATGTGTAAATAATTTAAAACAAAAATTATAAATAGAGGCTCGGCTTTTGGTAGGCCATGTAGATTTCTTGAAGTTGTCTGAGCTGATTGAGCAAGCAGCTCGGCAATTAAAAGAGCCTAAGCATGAGAGAAGTCTTTGGCAACTCAAGTCAACATACAGATGGAATTTCATGTGAAGTGCAGAGAATACACAAAAAATATATATAGCTAAAAGAAGCTGGGGATAGCTAATGGGATATAAAACTACAATCAAAACATTAATAACTCACAAAGTTTTGATTTTATTGCAAATTTCTATATAAGCCCTCGCTCCTTGTAATATCCACTTGTTCTTGGTAAAGTGCTTAAACCCAAATTTTATTTGACTGCTGCGCCACAAAATTCATGGCAAAATTATAATGCTCTTAGAGAGTCAGACGCAGTAGCCTGCGCCCATTGTATGTAAATAAATAAATACATACATAAATTCTCATTCAAAAGAGGCGCAACAAAAACACAAAAAGAAATGACGTAAGACTGCTTTCTGGTAGCAAAGGCAAAGGCAAAATGTGCCTAATTGCCAGCCCTTTAAGGCAGATTCTAGTCAAACCGAAGCATGATATCAAATAAGAAATTATTAGTTGATAAAGGCAAATTCCAATTGGAATCTCAATTGGAATCTCGCTTCCACTTGAGCGCTTATTTGGCACTCAATGCAGTTAATGTTTAAACAATTGCTAGTTGTTAAATTTCTTGGCAAACGAAGCAAATATATATACATATATATACATTACATATACATATACACACATTCATATATATATATATATTTGCATCTCAGTCCTGGAATCTGTTTCATGTCATTTGCGAATTGCTTCCGAATGAAAAAAAAAAAAAAAAAAAACAAACAGATACAATTCATTCACATACACACATACATATCTAGTATCTATATACACCGCTGTGCACACATATATGTACACTTGCATTTAAATGCGCCGTTGACTTTGACTTAACGGCTCGTCTATTGACCCCACTGTGGCAGGGCGGGCAGGTGGGCTGGGGAAGGCGCACCAATAGCTCTTACGAGAGCAACAAGTATTCGTGGATATTTTTAAGCATAGAACAATAGCAAAACAAGTCAAACCGAAAGCAACAAAAGCAAAGACAACGCCAAACAACTGAATGATGAAAATACCGAACGCATCTTTCGCTGCTGCACAGTGGAGCAAAGCATTGATACCAAATTTGGCAAAAACTACATTTATAATTACGAATTTATTATTTTATAAATTTTACTTATTTTAATAAATAACTATTTGGTTTTTTTTATAAATAAAATGTACAATTTTATACTTTTTTAAAGTTTCTTATATGTTTACCCACTGTGCCTAAACTCTTGCCAACAGAATTTACAAGTGTTAACAATGAACAAAATGTTCTTCATTGTTTGTTAAGGAAACGCCGGCGATGCGATGCCACCAGATTTTTTTTCAATTCATTAGGAACATATAAAGATATATATATATATATATATATATATATATA